CCCCTCCTCCCCTCCTCCCCTCCTCCCCTCCCATCTCTATTCTCTCTTTTCTCGCTTCTCCTTCTAGCTTCTGGCGCCGCCTTTGGTCTGTGCGCACTTCACGTGACTGGGCGTTTCTGGGGCATCGCCTTCGCCCACGACTTCCCTTGCACGCTGGCAACTCTCCAAGGTCGAAAAAAGGGTAGAAAAAAAAGATGAACATGGATGTAGAAGATGGAATCATACAGACATAAGATATAGGTAGAGAAAAAAAAAAAAAAAAAAAAAGCATGAACGGTATAAAATTTTATCCCAAGGCATTTTGATCGAATCACACAGGCATTGGGACGGGACCCCCACAACGGGAGACCCTCCTCCGTAGCGCTGGCCAGCTGATTTTTTTTTTGAGGTAGATACTAGATTTTAATATTTGAATTAAAAAAAATCAACTATTAAAAAAGAAAGAAGTACCAAAATTGATAGTGGTAAAAAGGCTTATGCTTGTGGAGGAGGTCCCCTTATATCGTTTTTGGAGTTTTGGTAGGCAGGTAGTGAAAGGAATAATTTTTGGAATAAATTTTGAGATAATTAGAGATAATTAGAGATAATTAGAGATAATTAGAGGTTTTTTTTTTTTTTTTTTTTTTTGTGGAAAGAAAATCTCCTAATTTACTCGGAAAAGGTACCAGTCCAGCTCTGCTTATCCCGGGGCATGGTCCCACTAGCAAAGAGGATCGGATCGAATGCCTGAATCTGGATGAGGTTATGGAGATGTGCGGGAAATGGAGATTGAACTCTGCTTTTCTGCATCTCTGCATAAAACACATCCAGATTCAGGAGCTCGATCCTATCCTTTTTGCTAGTGGGACCTCGGCCCCGGGGCCAAGTCCCACTAGCAGCGTTGAGCTACCTCAACTCCTGAATCTGGACGTGTTTGTGGAGACGTGCAGTTCAGGAAACTCGACACCATTTCCGCACATCTCCGCAAAAGCGTCCACATTCACGCGTTGAGGTAGCTCAACGCTGCTAGTGGGACTTGGCCCCCGGGCAAGCATGAAGGATTGAGAAAAGATCAGAAAAGAGCACTCCTCAAAAGAAAATAAGGACTGCAGATGGCGATGGGCAGCGGGAGGCTACCATCTTCCCCCGAATACAACGTACGGTCATTATAGCTGTATCTAAACTGAAAGATGCCTCAAATGCAGCTATAATGACCGTACGTTGTATTCGGGGGAAGAAGGTAGCTAGCTAAAGCACCCCCCTATTGCTACCCTGCCAATTCTGATAACAGAAAAGGGCCTTAATCCCTGTGTACCCCAAATCCTGAAACTGGAGGGAGAGAATTTGAGAGAAAAAAAAAAAAGATAGTGAGAGTGGGAGTGGGAGGCCAAATTTTCACCACCGCTCCTCGCTGTAGGGTGGCCTCGTTGCACTACTCGCCAATCGCCAAGATTCTAAATGCATCTGGTCATTCTGTTTGTCCAGATGCACTCAAAATCGTGGCGGATGGAGAGAAGTGCAACTAGCCCCGTAGGTGGCGTAATTGAAACCTTTCTTTGTTCTTTTTTTCTCTTTTTGCTTTTTTTTTAAAAGTTCGACGGCCTTGAGATATTGTCTGTCCTGCGCCAAGATTTGAGTGCATCTGGACAAACGGCCTGTCCAGATGCATTTACGATCTTGGCGGATGGCGAGTAGTGCCAACTAGGTCCTACAGCCAGGACCTTTTCGTTTTCTCTTTTTGCTTTTTTTTTTCAAAGTTTGACGGCCTTGACACATGTCAGCTTTGAACTGACCGGCCTTCGGTAATGCAGAATGCTGTTGTATTAACATATTCTGGAGTCGATCTCAGCAGGTCTGTATTTCAAATTTTCAGCAGTTCGTTGGTGTGTACCAACTGAGCTAGGCTGAATCTTCATTCATTCATGGGCACGTGGTGATCGGTCTCCCTTCTATCAATTCAATTCAATTCAATTCAATTCAATTCAGTTCAATTCAATCCAATACAATTCAATTGAATTCAATTGAATTAAGTCAAGTTTTTATTCTAATTCTTTATCTTTAGTTTTTTTTTTGAACGGGTGAATTCAACTCAATTCAATTTTTCTTCTAATTCTTTACGTTTAGTTTTTTCTTAACGGCTGAAATTGAGTTGAATTGAATTTATTGAATTGAATTGAATTCATTTCATTTCATTTCATTTCATTTCAGTTCAGTTCGGTTCAATTCAATTCAATTCATTTCAATTTCATTTCAATTCAATTCAATTCTTCTTCGAGTTTTCATTGTTTAGGGTTTTTTACGCCGGTGAATTCAATTCAATTCCAATTCAATTCAATTCATTTCAATTTCATTTCAATTCAATTCAATTATTTTTCGAGTTTTCATTGTTTAGGTTTTTTACGCGGGCGAATTCAATTCAATTCAATTCAATTTAATTTAATTTAATAGTTGTCTGATCGAGGCCCGGGGTCACCATTTGTGATATAATTTAAATTCGATTTTCTAGACTCGGATGTTTCGCAGGAACCCCCCAAGATCATCATAGAAAACCCTTTCGGGTTTTGTGTGAATCGGAAGGCCTATCGTCTTCACCCGAATAGAACGCCCGGTCACTAGTGATGTATTTGGGCCAACTTTGAGACTAGATACAGCAATAACGAGGGGACGTTGTATTCGGGTGAAGAAGGTAGTAAAGAGTCAGCTCAATACCGTACATTTTAGGTCACATTCAATTCTTTTTCTTTGTTTAGGGTTTTGATTAACGGTCGAATGGAATTGAAAATTGAGTGAATTGAATTCAATTCTTGTTTTTCGGATGCGTCCTCGAATATGGACAGATTCAGTTGGGAAAAGGCCGTGCTAGCTAGGCTACCAGAGTGGCCCGGCCGTGCTAGCTTGTAGGCTACCAGAGTGGCCCAGGACCACTTGCCCGGCCGGGCCGAAAAAAAGTAAAAAAGACTTTTTAACTTGATTTTTATTTTAAAATTCGTAAAGAAAAGAATTTCGATGCTCCGCCTGCTGGATGCGCTCGGAGGCCTTGGGGCCCCTGAATCTAGAATCTCTATTTCAACTCCTGTGTTTTGCCTTGGGAAATGAGAGACGGTTAACGGGGGCCCAGATGTTCGCCGTTTTCATTGGCAATTACGGTGCGAATTTCATCAAAAATTTAAAAAACAAACGATATGAGACCATAGTGCAAACATCAAAAAAGGAAACAGGCCAAAAAAAACGAAAAAAAAAACAAAAAAACACTATGAAACC